GGAAAGGGTTACGATCCGTTATATTAAATCTTAGAGATAGTGGGTGCATTTGGAATTTCTGTTCAATTACTACTTTCATGTAATTGAACTATTGAATTTTTTTCTAATTGCAAATAAAAACTCATTGGAGTTTTACTTTGTGTTATGCATCATGTACGTAGGCTGACGAAAGAGTAGTAATTAGAAGCTAAAATAGCTCGGTGTACGAAAATAACTATGAGTATGTGTTTAAGTCAGTTAAGCTCTCACGCGATAAGAAGCGGAACTATTCAATGAATGAACCTATAGCTTCCGCAGTCTTTGATACACGATGCAACGTTACCGCAATCACGTAAGATATAAATTCAATTTCCACGCCGTTGCTATACGCCACGGCGGATAATTCAATTTAAATTTAGTAAGGCAAGCTATTTTGACACAGTGTCACGTGTTCCTCTATTGTTCCATCGTACACTCTATTATTTCTTATACTTTAATCCAATGTTTCGCTCTAGAATATTTACATTTCTTGCACTACTTGACAAATCTTATGTTGATGACGACGAAATTTAATTTCAAATTAACGCTTAACGTATTACATGATCATCGTATTTCTCGTTTGTGTATTTCAGAGAACGATTGAAAAATCTGATACCAAGTGTTTGAAATTTCGGTATTTCTTTATGTCTGATTCTCCTTAAGAGCGTCATAATGAAATTGTGTTAGCATATTTCAAATCTGTAGAAAGCTAACATCATGAAAACCATAAGACAGCCTTTTCAAGCTACCGTATTCGAACGTTAAAAAAATTTGTGAATAACGTTAAAAGTAGAACGCGTATGCTATACAGAACTGACAGAGATGTGACACAAAGCAGCTTACAAAAGCGAAATACAGAAGACTCTTCTAAATCTAAATTTAGTTTGATGGGGTGGTTCACGAAAATTTTTTTTTAACAATAAGCCGTCGAGTATCGTCGTTTGATCCCATAATAGTCAAATACGTATGCAGCTCGTTTTTAGTATCACAAACGAAAATTTAATTCAAATGGAGATAAATTGTATCACTCAGGATTAAATCGTTTGCGTAACGATTATCACGGCGATAACAAGGTCAATCCTGAATCGTGAAATCGATGATCATTAATTAACACGTCGAGTTCGAACGGAAGACGTGGTCGTTGAGAGTGATAAACGCGGAACTTCTCTTTGCCAAGGTCAGGTCCGACCGTTTGAAAGTTATGGCTGCTTTGCACTGTTACCTTGAGAAACTAGTGCGGAAAATGTCGCGGTTCCGACCAAATGTAAAACCGGTAAATGGATTTTCTTTCGCAGTAACGCGAAGTACGGCGTGCCGCGCCGCGAAGCGAAAAGCGGTTTGACGTGTGAACTGGTGTGAAATCAAATGATAAACCGGTGCGTAAAGTTCTCCCCGACGCGACGCGACGTCGCTCTAGCTTTACGGAGACGATAAAGAGAGAGAGAAAGGGTGGCAACGAAGCTCACCCAAGGTGGGGCGAGTTGAGGTTAGGTCACGCCGCAGACCGCGAATGTAGGGTTGTGGGTCGCGCCCGGTCGAGCTCAGCTGCGCTGCGACCTAAAGGGGTTGCGGCTCGTCTCTGGTCAGACACGCCAGAGTTATCGTTCCCTTTATTCCCTCACAGAGAGATGCTCTAACGAACCGTCTCTGTAATTTCCCCGTCAATCATCTTTATCTACGCTTTTCACAGGCTACTGCGTAAAGAAATTGGTTACGCGACAGTAGAATGAGACCGTCATGAGTCAGACTGAGAGTCGAACGCAGCGATGCGTCAATCGAGCGTCTCGACTGGCATCGTCACGTTATTATAAACCAAGATTAATTGATTTCTATCGTTTTAGATTTGGAAATATAAGGAAGGGACGAGCTAAGCGTATCAAATCGCAATTCATGAAATACACAAACGCAAACAGGCTAAGAGCGTCGCGGTAATAGAAGGACCAGTCCATTCCCTAAAACTTACTCGGTTCTCTGTTCGACTCGGGGTCCTCGTACCACAACGTTTCCAGTCAAGAGACGACGACAGAACACACCACCACTGGTGATCACTTTTCGCGCGCGGTTCACGCTCCACCGTGCGCGATCAAGCTGAAACGCATCACGGTGGCTGGGCAAAAGGGTTAAAATAGAACGAATAGAGGGGTTGGCTCGCAACGAGAACGGACTTCCGCGTGGACGATCCGGCGTCGAGAATGTGTCCACGACGTCGAAACGACGGTGACGGTTCTTGGGGCCGTGCTCGCGACGACGACGGCTGCTGCTACCGCGGCTCGCGCTACATCGGCCAGTCTCGTTCAGCCTCGACGTTCGTCGGTCTGGCTCGGCTCCTTGTATCGTGACGCGCGGGGACGCGAAAATCCCGGCGGTCTAAAGTATCGATTGCATGCGCCAGCGCACGTTGCGCTGTGGCGCATCAACACGCGCCTTTCTCCACTACCGCGAGGGTTGTCCGACACGTGGTTGCGTTCGACGATCGCTCCGTCTTCCTTTCTTTTCTCTTTCATTCACACGCTATCTGGATAGGTTAGTGAAAATCGAGTAAACTGATTCTTGATAGCAGGCAAAGTTGTAAGTGATCATGCGTCGAATGGATGCTCCGGGATCGTGCAGTCTAGGTGTCGAGGGATGACCTTGCTATAACTATAATCATTGCGACAGTGGTATCTGTTCAGCAGTTCGCTGTTAAACTGTTTGATGCATCAGCATTAACAGGATTATGAATAAAAGTTCTCCAAATTATTAATAAAAAATTATTGCCAGTTTCAAGGATGAATATTCGTCTATAGAATGGAAGAATTTGCACGGTGCATGTAGAACAAGTATTCCGTTCAATCTAAATTCATCAACGTTTCTTTCGCTTCGTTTATCATCTGAATTGCAGATGCAGCCCATAGACTTTTCAAACGATGATTTATTGATGGGCTACCGTATTGCGAGCAGAGTTTCGCAACGCCCAATGAATTGTGGTAACGTTTCAACGCAGACTTATCGGAATAGCATATAACTAACGATTAAAATAAATTGCGTTATACAGGCTTTGTTCCTCTTATCGTTCAGCGCTGTTTGACTCGTTATCAAAAGAGACTCTCGTTGCACACATAATCCCTTTCGAAACGACCGTATGTTGCTAAGCTGTTTTCCACAAAGTAGACATTAAGAGCTCTTTCGTGTAATTACGCGTTATCAGCTGGCGATGTATATTATGAGTTACATTAGGGAACGAGAAACTGTTATAATTACTTATCGTTGCAATTAGTTGAAGGAATTGCATGGTCTATATGAGATATGTGCGCTCGTAAATAATGAATGTTAACACGGGACGAAATTTCCTTCGATCTTTCTTGACTCATATTCGGAGTTTGTCGCGTTCGAAGAAAAGGGGTTGAAATCACCCTCAGTGGATCGTCGAGACGACTGACATCTGACGAAGGGTTATAGAAGCGATGAAATAGAGAAAACGGTCTGCAGTTTTCTACGCGAGGGTAGAAACCACCCTCGCGACACTCTACTGTTTTCATCCTCTGAAGGTTTCCTTACCGACGTACAGTGTAATGTTCGTATGTCGACTGGTTTTCGATATAAGCTTAATCACGAAGGTTGCAGCTAATGGTTAAATTTTTAGTTCAATTGAGCACCAACTGACAATTAATGATTAATTTTCTATTCGGATTGGACTAATTAAAAACTAAAATTATTTAATTACTTTAACTGAAAGCAATTCAAATGAATGACTGAATTTTCATTCATAATTGGATAAGATTTCAATTTTTAATTTCAAGAAACTTGAATTAACGATTACATCTTAATTCTGACTGGAAAAGATCTCAATTGACGATTAAATTTAATTGGTAGTTGAAAGAAATCTCAATTAGTCATTTACCTGCACCTCTACTACGTTGTAACCGGCCATACATTTCTCAATTGAACATTATTGATTGTAAAATAAACAAAGTGTTAGGGTCTTGAAGGAATCAGAATAGAATGTACCATGCGGTGCTGCATGCTAGCGGCTGGAACGTGAACATGATTTTTAGCAGTGATCATTCTATTATTGTCAACCTAACAATTTAAAGATGACGTAAGGGTCCGTCAAACATCCTGTTCCGAAAGGACTAATACTTTTGTAAAACATCTTGCACTGATTCACTTTTGTGCAAAACTCTAAGTTTACTACATTCGTTATAAAAATCTCAACTCTAAAGAACTGCATATCAAAGGCTTCTCACCCTGAACCCAACTAGACTCACGGTGTTTACCATAAAAAAAGATTTCTCCCGAACAAACATCAGAAGTTCTCCCATCAACTTTCCCTTTCAAAGTCACCCTCCGTGGACAGGAACAGCAACCCTTCCACGCTACCTGCTTTGACGCGTTATCCGATCATCGATCAACCGCGACACGGATCAGATCACCACGCCGGAGCATCGGCGTTTGTCTGGTGGCACAAGGGACATCGCGTGGCGTAGCGGGATTTCCGGTCGGAAGCAATCGAAGCAGACGCGGAGGATCGTGCCACGCGTGTGCACACGTATGCGTGTATGTGTACCGAGCGAGCGAACCGCAGCGAGTCAGCACGACGCTAACTCGGAGTCAGATCGCGTCCATCATCCCCGCGGCTACGCCGTAAGGTGGCAACGTTGCTCTCGCGGCGAAAGCTTCGGAGTCAGGCGCAAACGGGCAATGCTACCGCTCGCGCTAACAATACCACGCTGGTAGGGGCATCGGCTATAGAGCGGCTCTAGGAGCGTGTTGAACCTCTTTGGTGGGGGCGAATCGTCTAGTGCGAGCAACGAGGAGGAGAGGTTGTTGTTGGACGGTAGGGGCAAGTCAACAGACGATGGTGGGGCCGACAGACGCCGGCGGTGCGAGAGAGAGCACCGTGGCGGAAGCAGGACCGAGTTAGAACGAGGAGAGGGAGCGAGTCGCCGCCGAAAGCGCATAGCGGCCCATAATTCGGTGCGCCGCCCCGCAATCAGGTTCGTGCTCGATGTTTCTAACCGCCTCGCTCGTCGCAGCCGGGAGAGAGAGACGGTAGTGCACGTTTTTACGTTTGCTCGTCAGCTCCGTTGACTAACTGCGGTTCGGAATATAGAACGGAGCACGGTGCTCACGGTTCGCGTGATCTGGTGTTCTGTTTTACTTTTAATTTTTCATTCGTTACATTTTCCTTCCTCGTGGATTACGAGCACGATCTTATAGTTACTCGCGCGCGTCATTGTTTATTTGGACACGGAGCTGACAAGACAAAGCTGCTCTCTCGGGGATTTGAAGTTTATCGTAATCGTGTATACAAGCGTCGTGCGGTACTGAAAGAGTTCCAACCACGGCCGTCCTCAAGGACGCGGAAGATAATCGAGTGTGAGGGAAAGCCTGAAAAACGAAACGGGTGAACGAAGGAGGAGGAACGCAGTGACTCGAATCGGAGCGCGCGTCTACCAGTCAACCAAACCGCGACCATTCAATCAGTCATTCAGTCAGTGCCGGTTCTACGCTTCGAACGTTTTCTCTCTGTCTGTTTATACACACTAAGAATTCTTCAATGGTGGCCTCTCTGGTGTGTCTCGTTGGCAAGCGTCGATGACTCTTTGTCCGTAAGTGAGAACGAGACACAGAATACACACGGCAGTTTGATCGAACGAAACGGATCCCTGGTGCTGTTAACCGTTTTGTGCTCCATCGTTTTAACAATATCAACTGATAGACGCACGAAATTATTGCTGGCTACACGGCTGATGAAGAATGTGCCGCCACGGACACGGCCAGTGAATGATGTATTCCTTACGTGATAATTTTCTTATGTACGTTCAATCCGTTGATTGTTGGTGATGATTGTGCCTGGTTCGCTAAGTATCCACGCCTCCACGTCGTCGATAGCGAGGGAGGGAGCTTCTCCGCCGATTGAAACGTCTCCATCGTTAGACCATCCCGTCTTTCTTCCCTTTGGTTTGGTGCACATAGTCACGTAAATATTAAAACAAGAAGCTAAGAAAAGGAAAATGCATGCATGCGACAATAACCGCGCATACGTCTTCCGTGCACGTGTAACCCAAGAAACAAGCGTGCTATAGTCGCGACGCGCTACACGATTCTGATTATTAACGAGTTATTACCGCGATACTAATTAAGTTTAATCGCAAGGCCGCCGTTCGTTAAAGTTAATTGCACGATCGACCACGGCCCACGTCGTTAACTACGCCGTCCCTGTTCGCTGCGTAGTCGTGCTTTTATAGAAATTACGTGGGCACCTATCGAGAGGACACGCAAAATTCTCTCCCGGTTTCGTTTCCTTCCTCAATTTGTTGATCTCATAGAACCAGATCAAAATCATAGTGATGGTTCATTGCTGATTTTAATTCGTTGCGAATTTTAAAGGGGAAGAGTGTATTTCCTGATATTATGATAGTGTTACTCCGTAAAACCTTAAAATCCATGTCATCGAATCATTCCGATTAATAACAACTTCATTTCTTGTACATTTTTTGAACATGATACCACAACGTATAATTGGAATCTTCTTAAAAAATCTAACAATCTCAGGAATAATTGCATTATAAAGATATGATCAGTATTTTTAATAACTATGAATCTTATTCACTCATACGTGAATTTGATGTTCAGAAATTATAAATAGTGCGCGTAATGTATAGAACTATTCAGAATATCAAAAATTAAATGCATGTTTCGATGTTCAAATAATAAAAGAAATGTCTGACTAATACACGTTCTTTAAACTGATACCAGGAACATTTCATTTTGCATAAAAATCTGCAGTCTATTAATAACCTGACTGGCAGAACTATGATTCTCGTTTCTCCTTTACGTAGATGGAAATTCTTCCGTGATATTCGATCGCGTACTCTCCGCGTAACCATCGCGAGAGTTGCGTGAATTGCAATTGCAGCAGTTACATGTTGCAGAGCTCACGTTTCTTGTGGTTTCGGAGCTAACACAGTAGCAATACATGCACGATAACTTAACTTCAGTTCTCACATGTACGCGATCCATCGTTCAAACATGTTTCGATGTAATCAGTCGCGCTGATGACTCCTGATTGTCTTTTTCATCCACGCGAACGATCGCGATCCTGATCGTCTCGCTCGAATGACTCCTCGGTTAATTTGTTTGTCGCCTCGCTCACCGTTTCCCACTGCCACGTAACGACGCACGATCATTACTCCAAAGGTCTTCTGCCGATTTCGTTCTGGTCGGACATTATTGGCTCTCCTAACGGTATTTTTTTCCAGTCCAAAGATTAATCGTAGAATTCGATTATTTCAATTCGATACTCGTGATCGTGCGAACGAGATTTCTTGACTAAATCTATTCTCACCGAACCTCACGTATGTTCCTCATTTAATGACTGTGTTAGAAATCCTCTGAATATTTGTTTAAAATTTCGTTTGCGATAAATGATTGACTACGTATATCCTTCAAAGACATTTTCCTAATGAACTTCTCAGAAATACCATTCATCGCGCATAATTTTTCAATGATTCATTACAAACGATGCTAACGTATTTACCGGATGATCCCACGATTTTGGGACCCACTTCGACCCCGCACTGAAGCAGCATCGATTTCTATCTCCCTTCGGTTCGGTTTTATGCTAATGCCGGCGACTCCTATGCACATGTCATGACGGATCGTAGACAGAATTTGTTAAAGTTCCGTAGGCCATTGGTTGCGACACATACAAGGCGTACACGCGCCTATGTCAGTGTATTGCGTGCGACGCGTGTGATCAATAAATCGAGCTGTGCAGTACCGCGTACACACGAGCTCACCGTTGCGTGTACACACGTGGCGTGCACACTCCCGCAGCCGAGGCCTAAAACGCAGCCTAAACGCAACTCCGTTCCTTTCCCGTACAGCTTTACAACACGTACGCATTTACCAATGGTCGCTGCTGTTGAGCCGTTTATTATATTCTACCTCGTTGTCAATGAAGATTAATGATATCAAAGCAAAATTGTAATAGAAACAGAAACTATTATAAATTATTAATCATGTGCTGGTTTTAACGCATCAGTCTTTGTTTTGAAAAAGAGTCACGAGACTTAATCTGCAGTTTATCATTTGAAAAAATATTATATAAGTGTATGATGAATTTTATAAAAGTTTCTCATTGACACATGATGCTTTGAATACGGTAATTGTTCGTAGCAGATGAAATTTTGTTAGGAGAGATCTAGTCCTACCCTGGTTTACTTTCTCCTTGGCCTATCATCTTATAACAGGCTTCCCGTCGCGTTTTTGATAAATTCGATACGAAACTTCCTGAACGCGCGGGATGTTGGACACGTAACAAATGTACGTATCTTCATTATCTCCACAAGTAATATGTATGCACTATACATCCATGCGTGCAGACTTTAATGAAATTTTCTTCTCACTTTGATTTTTTCTTTGACACGAAACAGTTCTACATTAAAAAAACTGAAAATCGGTGATTTTTTTCTTATGATACAAAAAAATTTACAACGTGAATTTAATACCACGTGTCTTTTAAAAATGAAAATCCCCCGAGCCTGTGTCTTTCCACATGGCAGCCGATGGTTATTTGATCGATACTAGCCCTCGTCTCTACGCTTTTCACCGGTGGGCATTGCGACCCTTTTATTAATGACTGACTCACACGCATCTCGATAAGCCCCGATAGTCATGAGCCGAGCATTTGGGAACGTTCCACGCACACGAAGGTCGTATCTCCTCGAACGATTTATTAAGTGTTCTCTCATCATTGCGTGACTCCCTTTCGTTGCTGGATCAAGTTAACTCATTCGATTGACAAAAGAAAATGATTTGTTCTTAAAATGAAGTGCTGGCTCCTTGTTTCCTTTATGTGCACATATCGTGACTCTTCTAATGTTTTTCAGCAGCGACGTTATCATACCTGATAATCTGAAATTGGAAAATTATGTTTGTTTTGAAAAAAATGGTGCAAGATCTCTCCTGAAATGTTGATAACTCCATATACAGTTTGATCTATAGCGATGTGGTAAAAATTCCTTTCTTAGTATTTTTAAACCAAAAATCCTCCAATTTCTGTATTTTATTACAATGTATAGTATTAAAACAAGTTTGTATAATACACGAACTATAGTACTTTTGTGTGCTACATATTATGTTCTCCGACAGTTGGTATTAATTAATTGCAATAAGAGAAAAGATTTGTAATAGGAAACGGTGGAAAGATTCGCATTTACGCTATGCGACGCTGAGGTATAAAGCAAAAACAGTGCAAATTAACCGAATTATGGAAGCGTCACGTTTGCTAATGATTTATGCGCGACAATGTGCCGGTAATTGGCAGCATGCACGCAGCGAGTGATGCGCGGCCTGTCCACCGATTAATTAATGAATTGACGGGCACGAGATTGCGGCCGCGAAATGATGTACATACATACATTCGTCACTGGGAGATGGTCAATTGTCGGTGCCGGAGCGCAAACCCACTCGCTTTGTCGTTCGTTTATTCGCGTTCAAAAAGCGTTCTTACGTACTACGCGACGTTTAAATATTTACACGGTTTGGTCGCGCGAGAATTTATGCGAAAGAGTTATGTGCTATTAAAACTTGAAATTGGAAATGAATTTACGAATCGGATATATCCGAGCGACACGTTTTTACTCGACTGCTGTCGACACTAAAAAAAAGTTCTAGGTAAAGGGTAATAAATAATGGAAGCTATGGTACATTCGAATAATTCGTACGCAATATAAAGATAATTACTGAAAAATGGAAACCAGTAATGGTTGGGTATAAAATTTTACAAGCGACCGAACCTTCCGTTGATACCGCTGCCCTTTCCTCTACGGTTTGTCTATTACCATTGTTACAGGGTCTAAAATTCTTTTTTTCTTTGGTCATCCTATTTCTAACTTAGAGAGATGAATTTTCGAGGTATACTCATAAAACCGGCAAGTTTCAAAAATAACCTTTGTAATTCCGAAATAGTAATTCGTTGTAAGATGTTGAAAACGCAGGTCCCTTCTCGACTAGTGGTTTTCGGTTCTGAATTGTTTTAGAGCGGTCGGACGGCGAACCGCAGTGAGATAACAGAAATTAAGGGTTCCCGGAAACCGTGGCTACGTACCTGCGTCAGAAAACGCATACATATACATGCGACACACAATGAAACCTCGTTTCTAGCCACGTAACGTAGTACTTACCTGCTGAGAGGCCATAGGGGCCCGGAGGGAACGTAGCAGCTGGCCCGATAATTGCGCCGGCGATATTATTAATGGTCCCAAAGATTTGCTCCGGCCCAAGACCCAGGTAGACCAGCGAGTAACCGTGTTGTACTTGCAAGATCCCTGCCCGCTTTAATCCTCGAACTACGTGAAAAAGTACGGGATGTAACCCAGCACAATGATACTTGCTCCGCTCGGAACGGCAACACTTATGTACAATTCTATTCTTCTGTACATCTTTGTGTGAGCAAAACCTACGACGACGATAAAAGAAAAATATACTCAGAATAGCATTTCAAAGAACTTCGAACTTTAATAGAATTGTTGATACGTGAAAAATCTATATAGATGGGGGAAATGTTTAAAGTGAGAAATAAATTGTAGAATAATTTTCGAGACATTGGTTAAAATAAATTTTACAGTGTCAGCTTTGGGGACTGTGTAAAATCGAAAGGCCTACAGAATTCGAACGAAAGTCCGGGAACGAAACGTTTCTCGACCTTTTTTCTAAGAAGGGTCAGGATGTTAGAGGTGCGGGAGGGTATTTATTTTCGAGCACAAACGGTAAGCCTGCCCTCGGAAGCTGCACACTTTCATTACGGTCTCGTGAAAAACTTCACGTTCTCGGTGCATTCCAGTGGTAACTCGAGCACCGTTGTGCATACATTCCTCCTCTGTGGTTCTCCTCTCCGGCTGTTTTCTCATCTTCCACTCGTGGCGTAGTCTGGGTTCTATCCATATTTCGAAGAGTTTCAGTGAAAAGGGCTTT